ATATATATATATATATATATATATATATATAAGTAAAAAAAAAATCTGCAACGTCGCCTCTCTTCTCCCCACTCGGGGCGACGTCGCAGAAAAACGAGGCGACGTCACCTTTATATATATGTATATATAAGTATATATATATAAAAGTAAAAAAAAATACCGCCCGGTAGTCGACGGTCCGTGTATTGGTCTGTTGGCAGATCGGTACGTACCGCCCGGTGCGGACGGTATTAGTCAAAATTGAAGACCTTGAGCGGTTCAAACTTCGGGTGAAGGAACATAAAAACAAGATATGGTTAGTGATGCCAATTGTGGAGCCCCTCTAAGAACAAGATGGGTCAATGTTGCATCCCTCCCCGACAAGCAAGCCACCTAAATGTAGCGTTATTTTTGGGTGCTTGGGCGCTCGCCAAGGGGCCCAAGTGGGAAGCCTAGGCATGCACCCGAACCCAATTAGGCAATCAACGTAATGATGCCACCTCTCTTGCAAGAACCCTAGTTCAGTGGTTGGTTGGCAGTCCTTGTTGCGTGTAAGGCAATTCGACGACAACTAACGATTGACAACCAACATTTGTGTGCATGGCGGCTCCCTACCCTAGTGCGGTGGTACATCCTTCAGCTGGACCACCCTCTCTTAGTTCTCTGCCCCCGACCACCCTCTCTCTCTCCTCCTAGTAGCACATTTCCTCTCCCTCTTTGCTCTATCTTTTCCCTGACTTCTCTCTCCCCTCAGGTCACTTTCTCTCTCCCACTTTCTAACAATGTAGCCCCTACCCCCTTTATCTTCTTTGTGGTGGTGCTGCCCCTCTTCTGTGTCGCAGCGCCACACCCCCTGTATTTGTCTCAGCCCTCAGCACACACCCCTCCCCCCCGCCTCCTCTTCTTTGGCCTTAGGGCCCTCTTCTGTATCCCTATGCACCAATTCTCTATCCTTGTGCCCCTATTTTCTGTCTCAACAGGTAATAGTTTATGAATTATCTTAATTATTGAATTTGTCATTGATAAAATTTTGAAATTTCACCGTAGTTTTAGTGGGGATATTTTGAGTTTTAAATGATATGGAACTCAAGTATTATCTAATTTTTATTTTAATATTTGGTGAGCTCCTTATTTTTTATTGGTGAGTATCTCGCTTTGCCTGGCCTAGTGCCTAGCATCTCTGACGATTTGGAATCATGGCACCTTTTAGCCCCTAGCGCTGTTAGCAACATTGACTGATCTAAAGACAAAGTGTCTTAAAAAGTTCAGAAAGTGATAGGACATAGAAAAGTTGAACTGTGTGTGGAACTTTTAAATATCATCATCGGGATGCTGAGACAAGAGTAGTTTTTCAAGCAATCTAAATAGAGAAGTTTAACAAATACATTAGAATATTAAGGCCAGGAGAAAATTTTAGAAGATCAAAGAATGAATGACTAAATGGTGGAGCCATATAATAATATCTGGCCTTGCAGAATACCAGAAAGGAGAGATTATTTGAAATCAGGAGGTGTGAATATTCAACTTGGACATCTTTCTAAAATCGAACAGGTGCATTATTTCCAAGCTCGAACATATAGATGCAGGAAAGGATAATTCTACTTACTGGCAAAGGAAGCCTTAATGGTGACAATGTCCTAGGTAGGGTGAATGATAATTCTAGAAGATGGATGTCCCAAGTATTTAAACAACAACATAATAACAAAGCAACTTTTTTTTTGTTGAATAATCTCCAATACCATTTGCCAATAAGGCCAGATTATATTTGAGCTTAAGCACACCTAATCGACCTTGCTACTTCTTTTAAATGTATTGTCCAAAGAACCCTTATCTGGAATACTATCTGACCATTAAATGGTGGTTGTGATGGTAAATATTCTTTATAAAATGGTTTAATTTCAAAACTATTAATAATGTAGTAAACTGGCATTTCAGTTGATTGGATTGTACATTCTGAGCAAGACACTTACTATACCCAGGACTAACAATTAGACAATCCATCAAGGCATCAATAGACCAGCTATCATGGATGCATTTGTGCTCTTTCCACAAGAAAACATTCTATGCACTTCACAGTATTTATCAATGTTAGATTGTAAGTCATGTTTAACTGCATTTATTTTTGTGACTGATGAGGTATGCTTTGTCCGTTTGGGTTAATGACTGGACTAATTGCATGACAAATTTTCATACTTTGGGATATCTAAAACTTGTCCATTCCATTTTCATCCATGTGTACTATAGATAATACTTTTTGTGTGGTATATGCCATCTGCAGTTATAGTTTAATGTTGTGTGGACACAGGTGTGCTACTGGCATGAATGATGGAAAAGAACAGTTCTCAAATTGTTTTTCTAGACTATAATAATACAGACAACTAGTTTCATGTGGTTGATAAAATTGTTTATCCTTTAATTTCTTTTAGTTTTATGTGATAAAAACCTAGGGCTTTAAGTAGTGAATTTTATGTCATATTTAAGTTTTTACCCTTTGGTTTATTGTCCTTCCATTCTATAGTTGTAGTTTCTTGATTCTCTTGTAATAATGGCTTTTGTTTGAAAAGTGTCTTTAACATGTGTTTCATTTTTTTCTACCAAATTTTACAGGGGCTCTTGATAAGGGTGGCGTTGGAGCACTGGAACTGGTTGCCATGGACATGAAGGCTAGGTGAGAAAATTTGGGACCTTCATGTCTTGTTCATTGTGGTTGATGTTCTCCTAACATTATGACTATTTACCTATTTTAGGGGTATGTATGTTTGTCGTACGCTAAGTTATAAAGGCGCTGAGTTTGAAGTAATAGAAGCACCCTTGGAGGAGAGAATGATGGTATTGAGCTATTAGTCCTTAGTGGCATTCATTGGTTTTTTGGTGGTTGTAATTTCAGTAGTTTTGCTCTATTCTTTCTCTCAGAAGATAAACTATGTTGTGGCCTTCAAAATAATTTTTAACCATGCATATTTCTTTCTCATTTTCTACTGCACTGTGGTATGTATCAGACTTGACATAGTTATTTTTGTTTATTGGTTTAGCATATTTAATAAACCCTAGAGCACCATTACTATAGTTACTTGACATGTTTATCCATGAAACATCTCACGCTTTATACAGGTATATAATATCACAATAGATCTTAATAATCCAACATTTAACATGGAACTATACCTTAATTATTTGATACATAGCTACATGCTGAAATTTAATGGGGGTAACTATCTTGTTAACTTCGTTGAGCCTAGATCACTAGCTCAAAATGCTTAAGCCCAAGTTAACAGTAGTACGTCCATCAAACCCTTATAAGATATTCTAATTCTTAGCCCACTTTTGGACTTAGCCTAGTTACATGTTTAAGCCTATATGACCAAGGTGTTACATGAACAATATGAAAGGTCTTAGGTACTTTTGGACTTGATTGTTTAAGTATCATTGCAATTAATATACAATCAAATATAAAATGAGATGCATGTATCTAATACTAATTTCTAACCTAGAATTTGACCTTATTGGACCCTTGATCATTATGTGGAATGCAATTTCGTACCTAGTCCTATACCTATCTTAGACATATCGATGTGTATTGACTGTCAATTCAATACATTCGTACATATTGATATTTGAAAAATCAATTGAAAAATTAGTCAAAAATTAGAAAAATATTATTTTAATGTTCTTTCTATTTTACTTACTTTCTTGGTTTTTACAATCAAATTAAACAAAAAATAAAGTAAAAATAAGTATCAACCAATAGAATATGAAACCAAATTGCTTAGTGGTTAGGGGTCGAAGGTAGAAATTCTTATTGTTATAGATCTATCGAAGAACCTCATCACATAATCCTTCATTGAATAAGGTTGCTTCCTTGGATTAAAGTGCCCATTAATATAAAGAAAAGAGTGAAGAAATAGAACTAGGTGTCAAAACTCTAAGATATGAGCAAAATAAAATATATATAGCTTTTAGAAACTAAACAGCCTGTCACGGACTCAGTTGGAATTACCTAAGTCGTGAGACACCCTTATGTTATCCGTTCGAAAAGGGTTAGCCTAGTTGCAATCTTGCTCAGGTTTTGAAGGACTTGTAAGAGAGCAAATTGATAAATTTCGAAAACAAACGACGGACAAGTTCCGACGCGTTGCAAAGAGGATAGCTTTACAAGCAATTCAATAAACACTTGGTGTGCAAGAGAGAAAAGAGAGGGGGAAAATAAGGACTTTAGACGGCAAACAAATAGTCGTAAGTCTACAAACGATTGCTCACCAGGTGTCGGGCGTGTTGTCAAGTTCTCGGAGGCTTTACGTGCGAATTTGTGAATCCAATTAACGCTCAACACTACCCCAAGCTCCCATCTAGCCCTATACCACACGGGTGGTTCTAGGGTGCTGAGATGGTTGACATTTCACATCACATTGCAGACTGTAGAAAATAGGCTATGACACGTGAAAACTAGGCCATTTTGGGGCAGCTTGCCCGTTCTGGTGAGCAGTCGCTCTGTTGCCCCACAAATTATTTTGCTCCCAGTTATCAAGCAAAAACACATAAAAATATGGCAAAATACACTGCTAAACATATGTATAAGTAAATAAAAGCAACAAACGATCAGTAGATAAAGGTGTTGTGGGTGCGCGACGATCATTCGTGACATTCTTTCCCACCTAAATTGTCGACGCTTGATGACTGCTTTTTCATATCATAGGACATCTTTATGCTTCTAACTGACTTTTGTCCAAGGAAGCTTTTGCCACTGCACTAAGTATTGTGCCAAGTTCCCCTACTGCCGGTAAGCTTGATATGAAGTCCAAGGAAATGCTCTCCCACAACCTTTTTGGTATGGGCAACGACTCCAAAAGTCTCACCAATTTTCGCTGCTCTACCTTATCTTGTTGGTAAATAAGGCACGCTCGAGCATATTTTTCCACATCAATCCCTATCTTCGGCCAATAAAAGGCCCTCTTCATGAGAACTAACGTTCGGTGAATATCTGGATTTCCTGCTTAAAGGAAATTATGACACTCAAGAGTTCGTGCCTCAAATTGTCTGTTCGGGGAACATAAACTCTATTCCCTTTGATATAGACGAGTCTCTCTTAAACCCGAAAATATTGTGCCTTACCTTCTTTTATCAGTTGTATTAGGGTTACTGCTTGTGGATCATTGTAGAGTATATTGTTAGAACCCTTGTAGATTCTAAACTTGGGGTTGATCTCTTTAGGGGATCGGCCTCCTTGGAACTCTATAGGGGTTCCTCCCTCCAAGTTGCTGCTCAAAGGCTGCAGAAAAGATTCATCTATTGCTTATGAAAAGAGGTAGAATACATGACTATTCATAGGGCTTCTAAACCCTAACTCCTAATAGGACTCTTACTCAAGACTCCTACTTCTAACCAACTCCTAATAGGACTCATACTCAAGACTCCTATTCCTTTACAACTCCTAATTATTCTCTAAGAAACAACCTCCTAACCCTAGTCGGCCTCTTCACCTCTTTAATAGGGGTCGGCTTAGGTAGGTTTTACATGAATGTCCCTCTTAATTAGGACTCTCCTAGCTAGAGTCTTAACAGACCCGCCCTCTTCAAATCAGTCTTATCCTTAAGGCTGACGATTCATGAACTCTGAAAATTTTATCTTCAAGTCGTTATAGTTCTCCCAAGTGGCATCTTCTGTTGGTAGGTTCGCCCATTGTATTAGCACTTTAGTAGTGGGTCATCATCATCGAGTCACGATCCGTCGATCAATAATGGCACTTGGCTGGGTTTGGAGTTCTCCTTGGGTAGCCTTATTTGGTGGGTGGCTTTGGGCTGTCTCTAAGCACCTATTTACAATTTTCATCTGGCCATCGGTTTGTGGGTGATATGCCGTACTCCTCTTCAATTTAATACCCTGCATATGGAATAACTTTGTCCAAAATCTGCTTGTGAAGATGCAAGTAGAATTTGTCACAAGCACAATGCATCCCTTATAGTGTAATTCTTTTGAGTCCCAATTGTAATGAGCCACAGAGCTTGGTGCTTCCTCCATTTTTTTTATGATCTTACTGGTCTCCGAATCTTCTTGCCATTCCATCTTAATATCCTCAAGGAAGTCACTAGTCGAAAGTGAAATGACCAAAAATTCAGCTTGCTTAGGTAGCCGTAAAAGCGCATCTGTAACAACATTCTCTTTCCACTTTTTGTAAGTTATTTCATAATCAAATCCAAGAAGTTTTGTTACCCATTTTTGCTGCTCGGGAGAAGATATCTTCTGCTTCAAGAGATATTTTAGGCTTTTATGGTCAGTCTTGATTTGAAAGTATTGCCTGATCAAGTACGATCTCCACCTCGTTGCTGCGTGCATAATGGCGAGCATCTCCTTATCATATGTTAACATGTTTTGATAGGGGAGAGACAATGTCTTGCTAATGTATGTGAGTGGTTGACCATCTTGCATGAGAACGTCTCCCATTCTGTCTCCAGATGCATCGGCCTTAATGATGAAGGGTCGGTTGAAATCTGGTAGCGCTAGCACCGGCGTCGTCGTTATGGTTGCCTTAAGTTTGTCGAAGGTAGTGGAGGCTCTGTCCGACCATTGGAAGACATCTTTTTCCAGTAAGGAAGTAAGTGGTGTACTGATCTTTCCATAGTTTTTCACGAACTTACGATAGTAGCCTATTAAACCCAGAAAGCCATGTAGCAATTTTATGTTCCTCGGGGTAGGTCAGTTTTGCATTGCTTCAATTTTGAAGGGGTCCACCGTCACACCTTCCTCTGATATGATATGCCCAAGATATTCCACCTTTTGTTGAAGAAAGTAAAAATTCGTTGTGGCCGTTGTGTGTTCGAAAGGAGGTTTTCGGTATGACTTCTTCATACACTCGTATTTGATAATACCCGGATCGAAGGTCCAACTTTGTGAAGATTTGTGCTCCCTTTCATCTAGCAATTCATCTACTACTGGAATAGGGTATTTATCCTTGATGGTTATGCCATTGAGAGCTCGGTAATCAACGCATATTCGCCATGTTCCGTCCTTCTTGCGTACAAGTATCACCGGTGAAGAGTAGAGGTTGCAACTTGGTCGAATAACTCCTGTTTCGAGCATATCTTTTACAATCCTTTCTATTTCATCCTTCTGGAGATGTAGATACTGATATGGCCGAGTATTTGCTGGAGGTTTGCCTGAAAGAATCATTATATAATGATCATGCCGATGGGTAAGAGGTAGGTTGTGCGGTTCGTCAAATATATCTGAAAATTCAGCAAGCAAAGGAAGTAGGTTTAGATCTTCAAATTCTATTGGCTCTCCCTTAGTTTGCTGCTCAAGTTGTACCAAAAAGCCGCTGTATGCTCTATGCAAAACCTTCTCCATTTGTTGTGTTCAAATCGTTGTTACGTCGCCCCCACGTTTCCCGTTCAGTATCACCTGTTTCTCCTTACTGTAAAATTTCATAATTAGTTGCATAAAATTCCAAGAAATATCACCTAATGTCGTCAACCATTTAATTCTGAGCATGGCCTCATGATCATCAAGAGGGAGAAGGAAGAAATATGCAATTATCTCTTGGTAAGGCTTCATGATCAGTAGTAGTTTCATTTGCGGGCACCTACGATCATACTTCAAAATCCATCCATCGGCGACCTTAACATCAAACCTGCTGCAATTCTCGATAGGTAAGGCCATCTGGATAGTGATACCGGGGAGGGAAAAATGCAGAATGGATGTCGATAGAAAACCGATATAACAGTTGTTCAGATAGAAAATATCACAAAAGGCAAGGAACGCACTTTTGAAGAAACTTCGATAAAACGATATATAGCTCACCACCAAGTTTAAAAATCAAAAGGGATACAGAAGAT